TAAGTAAGTGTTAAGTTTGAGCGGCGTAATTAAACCAAGTTTATTGGTGTGTCTAGGAGATAGAGTTCGGAATGTAATGATTTATATTTCTGCACGGTTTATGTCGTTGGAAATACATATACTAACAGCGATTTTATGACTTTGTTTTAGAACTGGCTAGAACTGCTTGCGCATTTTTATTAGCTGGTAAGGTGGAATTTTCTTTTTCTATGCCAACCACAAGTGTGAAAAAATGTTCTCTTAATAAAACTAGATAGTTATGTGATTGAATCTACTAACTTTTGATTATTCTCAAAAAAATCTGGAATTAAAATCTATAAAATTGAAATAGAAAGCAATAAAATAGCTGAGAGAAGTTATGTAAATTTAATTCACAAAGACAGTAGTATAAGAGTAATTCTTTGTTGTCGAAAAACAATAATAAATGAGAAGCAAAGTTAAATGTAAAAAGACAATATTGTTTTTTATTGTAAAAATCTATTTATGACCTCGTAAGAAATGTATTTTTTTTAAATATACTAGTATTCTATTAAGGTATGCATATCCCGTCACCAAGCCTATAAATCCTAAGTAGGAAACCAAACAATTTATGATGAAAATATTTATTAAAAACTTCTAAACAAAAATGCGACTATTTCGGAAATAAAACTGTTACAATATTTTATTTATATTGCGAATTCTGTATTGATTTTATGTTTTAATTAACTACTTAAGAATTTAATAAACAAGAACTTTTATTTTATTGTTTCAACTCTTGATGAAGCTTATGAAAAAATAACATTTTTTTTTTTTAACATTTATAATTTTTTTAGATCGGTAAATGACGGTTAATAATAATGTTAATAATAAACCTGAAAAGACCATTGAATTTTGAAGAAAATTAAATAGACTTTACTTTGATAAGGCATATGTTATAGTATTTTAAGAAATTGAAATAAATTGGTTTTCCGGTTCGAGATARACTAATCCATTGTAATGCAGATCGAGTATTACAGTTAAAGTTTCCTAGTTATTTCTCTAAGGTAAAGTTATTTTATTTCTGTAAGTTTGTTAATCTGCTCGCTGTTCGAGTTGTATTTTGTTCAAGTCCTAGTTGTATAGTAGTTAAAATTGTGAGAAAGTGAATTTCTCAATGTTTTATAACCCCGCTTCTGTGTGCAATATTTCGCACATGTGTCGTCCTTTAACAACGTCCATATTTCCCCGATTGTTTTCCTTTATGCCTGCACATAATAACCCTCCAGTGCCATCGTCCTTAACGCGGATATTTATCAAGACGCAAGGACGTGACCGGATTATCCATCTCAAATATTCCTCTAGTTTGTTTTTTTCATTTGAAACAGCAAACATCGAGGATTTTACTGCAATGTCAATGTCTCCTCGACTAGGGGAAAGAGTCAGTTCGCATCTCGAAAGGACTATCGATCCTTGGTCGGATAAAGTAAGCACGCTTTTCTCATGCACGTCTTAGATGCAACTGAAACGAGGCAATTTAGAKATACAGTTTGAATGTCATCGCCGAGTTTCGTGTTATCTTCTTGTAATTTTCGTATCAGCAACGTCGGGAGAAATTTAATAGCTGGAGGAAGTTCGCTTTCTTTGGGGTTCGTGATTTGAAAGAAAATTTCTTTTTGAATGGCACTTATCGATTTCCAGCAATTGGTTCTAGAGCGATTTGCTTGTTGTGCTTTGGTCGAGACGGGTGGGTATTTTTGGACCGTTTCGTGAGAGGATTACTATTTCAATGGCGTAACATAGAATGGGGCTACATTCGGTCTTTAAACGTATCTGTTTAAAGACACAAAGTTTTTCTTTCTCACTTATTATTATTTAAAAAACTACTTCATTTATTGAGAAATAAAAACTTGACATTCTAGACTTAAGGAGATTTTTGATAAAACTAGACAGTTGATTACAAAAAATAATCATTTGAGATAATCTATCTCTATTTTATACGGAACCGCGAAAGGTCAATTTGCTATGTAGTTACTACATTGTCTTAATCAATAATTTACACTACTCATATTGCACTAATCGTTTATGAAAAAGTATATCTWTAAAAATTACGAGTACATAGCTTAACATGATTTATATAAATCGTCTTCAAAAATTTAACGATGTTAAGATTGTTATACTACTTTTTGTATTGTCGTGTGCTAGTGTATTTCTGGGATTTTCTGAAGAAAATATATCTTCAGAATAAGAGTTATTCAAATTTTTATTTTTTGAAACATCAACGAACAAGGTTTTCTGAAGTTTTGAATATGAATATTTTTTTTGTTTAATTAATAAGAATATTACTATTTTTAACCTTTTTGTTGTTTTGTAGCAAATAATGTACAATAAAATTTTGATTTTTTGAAGAATGTTTTAAAACAAGAAGATACTAAATTTTTAATAAAAATACTCGTAGTGTAAAAATTATCTGATATCTTACTAAGAAAAACGCAGGCCTTCTTCCATGCGTTTAATATTTTCTTGTTTTTCTTCTTTTTCGTATATCTTCTCAAGAAGGAAATCTATATTTTCACTACAAGAAGACACAATCAAAGCCTTTTAAATTATTTCTCTCGTAATTAATATATGATTATTATTCGTTTGGTTTTTGTATCATTTTATCTTAAAASTAACTTTTTCTAATTAATGTAACACTAAATAAAAACTGTTAATATAGGAGTACCTATACAACTAAACTATAAAATACAGTGTTTTTTTAAAAACTTATACAGGCTGTTCGGGCTAAACCCCATTAGAAGTATTGCGAGTTTTAACAATGATATTTATCTAAAATTTTGTTTATAGTCATAATCGGTTAGGTTCTGCTTAATGACAATATTTTCAAGATAGCGACACTTCCTGTTACACCGGAAGTGGATATCTACTTCGTTATTTTAAATAGAAAGTTATGTTTTTTATTGCGTTTTTGGATTACTCACGTGGTTTTAAAAGAGTTTTGATTAGCCTTCTCCATACCTAAATTTAACCGTTTTCGAAATATTTAGACCTTTTTAAATTATTTTGGATTTAGATCTTATTCAAAAATCGATAACTCTACTACTTTTAATTATGTTGAAACCGTATTTAGGTATACGAGAAAGAAATGTTAGATCTTTCTTTTGGTATTCATAATTGGAAAAATAATTAACAAACCGCCAAAATGTAAGGTTACGTTTAGGAAACTTCAAATACGCTTAACTCAATTTTTCTAAATGAAACAACCCAATTTTTTCTTCACTAAATGTCGAAGAATTTAGTAGTTCTGCTTTGATCTGTTTTAACATTCCCTATACTTATGTTTGATAGTTTTCAAATTAGAGTAACTTCTTTTGATATTGTGAGAAATTTATTAGCCATAGCTGCTTTAGCATAGGTTCTCATAGAAATAAGAAAAAAATGGAATATCAAAGTTATTTAAATTTAGATTAAATAAATTTAATTTGTATTTAGGAAGGAATGAACACAATTGTGAAAAAAACTTAGCGTTTTTTCAGTGAGAAATATTTTCATGGCAAACTGCGAAAACTACCATGAYTTCCTTCCACAGTAAAAAAAGTTAAAATAACTTGGAAATCATTAAATTTAGGTAAAGGGAATGTTGATACAGATCGGTGCAGKATTAAATTCTCTTTCATTTAGTGAAGAAGAAATTCGGGTCTTCTGGTCTTCTATTTGAGAAAATTTAGTTACGGGTATTTAAAGTTTCCTAAACCTAAGTTTCCTATACGTAACCTTAACTTTTGGAGGTTTGTTAATTATTTTTACAATAATTAATAAAGAAAAGATCGTACCTTTCTTTTTCATATGACCAAATACGATTTTAAAATAATTAAAAATGGTAGAGTTATCAATTTTTGGATAGAACGTTGCAAATTAAGAAAAAAATCTAATAGTCTAAATATTTTAAAAACGGTTAAATTTAAGTGTAGGAAGGTCTGATAAAAACTCTCACAAAATCACTTGAGTAATCCAAAAACGCAATAAAAAACATATCCTTCTATTTAAAATAACGAAGTTGATACATTTAGGGTGTAACCGGAAGTGCTGCCATCTTGAAAATATTTTCATTCAACAGGATCTAAACGATTGAGGCTATAATCAAAATTTTGGATAAATATCACTGTTTGAACTCCTACTAATACGGGGTTTAGCCGGAACAGCCTGTATAAAACTCAGTTTACATTTTGTATAACGCAGTATTGATAGAAGCCATTAAGCAAAAAGGCTTTTTAAAGCTTTTGGAAATAAGAAATAAGAATTTCTTTAGCCGTGGAAGCAATTCAACTGAATTAACCATTTATTTAATCAACATTAAGATGAATTAATTAATATTAAACGTCTTAACAAATATGTTTTTATATGTGGTACGATCGGCGTCAAAAAAATTGAAACACCAATTTTTCTATTTCGGAGGTGTGCAATGCTACATATATTATTCATTTAATAAGAAGAAACCAACTGTTTTATCTTAGTAACTAAACAAATCTGCAAGATTTTCTGAAGCTACCTCACACACATTGCGCCTAATTTAAAATTGAAAATAAATTATACCAATCTTGTCTTCAAATTTACATTTTTCAGAATTTACTGACTTGGTGATGTTTCTCTAACTTATCATGACAGGAAAGAATCAATTACAGGAGTTAAAACTTTAAAAAAATGTATACTTGATTTATGTTGGTATTTCCATTTTTTGACGCCGATACTACAATCACCACACCACTGGTTTATTTATTGCATGTAGTGGTGGTTAATATTGCAATCGATAGAAGATTAGTTGGTTGATGTGGGGCTCATTTCGTAAATAGGGGAAAGTGGCTCAAGTTGGAGCTGCTTCTAGAACTATGCGATAAATTAAATTTCAGACTTAGTCTTATTTATATCTTTTGTCTCTACATTTGTCACTATATTAGCAGTTGATTCTTTTTTTATAATCAACTATGGACTCTTATTGTTTATAGTTTTTGGAATATTGAGAAATAAAAYAAGGTTTTTCGTTGCAGGCATGGCTCGTCGACGCAAACAGCGCTTTAAGCCTTGAGGAGACCACCCCAGCCATGGACCACAGCGTGAAAGCGATGACATCTCCTCGCATCCTCACGCGGATGCTCAACCCTCACCGTTTCGAAAACGACGAACTCGAGCAACTRTACCAGCGCTACATCTGCAAACTCCAACATTCTAGTGTAGCCGCAGTTGTCGCCATCTTCGTCGTGCTAACGGCCCTCTTGGCCAATCTGGGTTTGATCTACTCGCAAGGGCCCACTGCCCAGAACGTGTACCATGCCGCCCATTGCATTCTCTTCGCGTTGCTCTTGGGCTTCCTCCACACCCGCTTTATGCAAGATGCATATCTGCTTTGGGTCTGCTACGTCGTGTTGTTTTTCTTGGCGATTTTCTGCGCGTTGGCGTTGCCTCTCTATCCGGAAAGCTCGACGGCGAAAGTGGCGGCGGAAGGAACGTGGCAAGTGGTTTTCGTGGTGTTCTTGGCGTATGCGATGATGCCGCTCAAGAGTTGGATTGCGGTGATTTTTGGGTTGATGTTGTGTTGTGCGCATATCACGGTCGCCACGCTTTTTGCCAAGGATTTTCAAGAGCTTATGTGGCAGCAGGTAGGGATTTCGGGGTGATAGGTGATAAGGAAAACGGTGGTTAATCGCGCAAAAGGGGTTATGAAGTTAGGAAGAATGTTTCTTGATATTTTTTCTTTTACAGTTATGTTGAGATTTTCACACTTTTTTACTCTTGCTTAATTCATTTTTTTATTTATATTTTGAAAAGAAAAAATACTTTTTTCAGTGTGACTGATCTAGGCCTCTTTACAGTTCTATAACCTTAATAAAATAGATGTAAAGTTTGTTTTTTTTTTAATGGAAATTACCAAGTCAAAATTTTGGTGAAAAAATTGGTAGCAGCTTGTCTCCATAGCCACATATTTTGTTTGCTCTTTGTTTTTGTCCCTATAAATTTTGTTAAAAAATTATGGTTATGTGTTCAAATTGAGATGTTGTCAAAATTTTGACTTTTATGAATCTTGTGTGCCTGTTTGCTCTTTGAAAGCGCTATAATTGAATACCTGAGGACAGACATCATTACCTAAAGTCTAAAGACAGAATTCAGTGCTAATAATTTTGACAGAAACACACCGCAAGTAAGTACAATGTTGTGGACAAAAATGAGATTCTTGCTACAAAAACTTTGAAGAAAAAGGATGTATATACAGAAAAAAGTTATTTAGCAAAAGATACAAGTGGGTATTATGATGATTGGCAATAAATTTTGTGTAATTTATTGAAATGAGCTCAAAGTTGATGCATTTTATAAATCCTTCTTCAGCTTTAGTTTCAAAATTGTTACTTTTTCAACTCGTTCCTCAAAAACGATGCACAAGACATTAATTTAATTGCGTTCTTTCCGAGGTTCTTTCTCATTCATGTTTATTTTGTATTCTTGTCAATTTTTTGCTAAAAATTAAAAATGTTTAGCAAGCCTGCATTACAAACTGCGTCTACATTTTAACGGGCCCTTTTTCTAACTTCCTGCTTGCGAACTATTCGTTTCCAAATTTCGAAAAACTGTTAGCAGTACCGAATTTGTTCCTTTTTTGGTGTTTCGTCTCTAAATTTTCTTAGGCGATTTTTTGTGTTGACGTTTAATGACATTGTTTTGAAATTAATTCAAAAAACCGGAACTGCCAACTTCCTTTATTAAAATTACCATGAATGAATTTACAAGTGATGCCAACGTTAAGACTGTTTGGCATTTCCATTTAAAAAAAAAACAGACTTTAGTAGATAGTCGAAAAACAAAATTTTTAAAAAGATATTTTCAGTAATGGAGTAAGCAAGTTTTTATTTTTTAAAATATCAAATAACAATATTTTTAAAGTCTTGTTCGAGTATACTAAGTAAGAATCCGAGTATTGCTTCTTTTGGATTTTTTTATTATTTTTGTCAAAATTAAAGAGATAAATATTTTAACGTTATTTATGCTCGGACTAGGGTTCGCCGATTTAGAAAAAAATTAGTGACAACCGAATAATAATTTTATTAATAATCATTTTTCTTATTTATAAAATTACATACTAAATCCTTTGCACGCGTTACATTGTCCTCCTTGACGCGTTACAGAATAGTGATTATAACAAATATTTTGCGGTTTAGATTGTTAATTCTTTAAGTTTTATTTTATTTTCTGTTCTGGAGATTTCAAAAAAATAGAACGTAGTAAGTCGCACTGGAAATTTAGCATCCACTAGCTAGGACTATGCTACTTACACACAATACTTCTTTTTCATGACTGGTAGATGTCAGATATAATATAAGGCTAGTGATGTTGGACCATTTTAAGGGGGCGTGGCCCAAAAAAATCGAGAAAACGTTTTTTTGAGACCTCTAAAATTTCTGGTTTTTGTCTTCTGTAGAAAATATTTTATAACTTTGTTATGTTGAAAATTTTTGAAGATTATGATTGTTAAAAAATTTTTCACTTAGATTTTCTAACTTGTAATTAAATTTTTTGATGAATATGGTAAAAAAGAAGAAGCTAATTTTTTTTATAAAAGTTTTCTAAAATCTTAAAGAAACTCGAAACTATTTTATCTGCGTCTTCTGAAGAAATTTTTACTGCAAGTAAATTTAAACAAGGACTTGARTTTAACAATAAGGTCTTGTTGTAAGCATGAAATGTACCTACTTGAGAACATTGATTCCTTAATCTTGTTTCTTATTTCCTTCTTATGAAGAAAGTAGTATGGAAATGAGATGTTACTTTTTATATGGAAAAAATGTAATTRAAAGCAAGGGGGCTTRAATGTCTTTTTGTAAGGAACTAAGGTTATTTTCTTTATTTTTTTTCTACACAATTTTATTCAAATTAATTTTTGCTGAAAAAGTGAACACTATTCAGAGTTCTTCTTCTTGGATCTTCTTGGTATGGAAACGATGAACAAAAACACGATTCGTGTTTTTGTTCAACTATTCAGAGTCAAAATTCTAAATTTGTATTTTCTTTTTAATTGTTTTATCTTATTGTTTGTTAATCAAACTTCGGTGGTAACAGTAGGTAGAAATGTGGTAACCGCGTTTTTAAAATAAAAAAATGCCCGAACAAAATTTTTAGCTTGGGTTATGTATGCAGATGTAGTAGATTATGGAATTATGCTTTTCAAGCGCCGAGGGCTAATGAAAGGACGAAGAAATTTAGCGAGGGAGGGTCCTTGTATAACGGCCGTTTATCCGGATTGTGATTAATATCTTCCTGAATTACGCATAATAAGCTACTTGAATAAGGCTAATCCATATTTTTGCGCGTTTCAAAGCAAAATAACGCGATCAATTATTTTCCACAAGTAATCAACAAGAGTTATTGAATGAGATTAGCAGATCATCGGTTTTTGCAGTAATAAAACGAGTTTCATGCACAAGTTCCAGAACTAATGACTGAGTTGGAAAACAACTGTTTTTACCATTTGTGGGTCTAGAAAAACTGGCTACAAAGAGAAATATTAATAATTAGAAGTTAAGTTTAACGTTTCTTGACAGGACAGGATGTTTTATTTCTTATGAAAAAGGAAAATCTAATTACGCTCAAATAAATTATGTGTGAAGAAGTGCAGCTGTGACATTCGTGTCAAATATATTTTGTTTCACAACTAGTCTAATCATAAATTCTTTTGAATATATGGCTGAAATGAGCTCTAGCAGAATTAATGTGGTGCTATTGTGGCAAGTTGGAAGCGAACGGAGCTTTATTGGACACTAACTTAGTTCAGTATAAAAAAGAATCAAATCCAAGTGAAAATCCCACCTTGAAGGGAGTATTTTTGTAAGATTAATGAGCTTTTGCTGAGACAAAAATGCAAGTAGTTTTTATTGGTGACAAACACAAGCTGCCACGGATGCCAACAGAATTTTACATTTTTGTCTGCAGTTGAACAAAATTTTAATTTTGTCTGTAAATAAAAAGAAAATTTTTATTCCCTGACATTGGTAGAAATTTTAAAGGTTCAAATGATATACATAAAATTTCTTTTATTACTACTTAACTATTTTAGAAGCTTTGTTGAGCCATAGAAAAGCCTTTGATGCCAGGTGTGAGCGTTTCGGAAAAGATACATCACCTGTGTTTGTCTTTTAATTAAGCAGTGACTAAACCCAACAAGAAATAAACGAAAACAAAGCTTTCAGTCAAGGTGTAAAAGCAATAATTGTGTTATTATTTCTGAAACACGATATGTGCATTAGGAACGATGTAGAAATTCCGTCAGCGTAGATAAATGTTATAATTTTAGATTAATTCTTCAAATTTTTGTTTATTTAATGAAACCCAAATCAATTTTTTATTGACTTGCTTTTAAATATTTGCCAAAATTTGCTTCCCACGCACATAAAGTGCTAAAAAATGTATGACATGATACATAAATATCTTGTATCAAAAAATAAATACCGCTTTTATTTTATGGCTAATTATAAAATTGCCATTATGTTGTTTTTTATGGACTATAAAAGTGAAAATTGTTAGATTTATTAATTTGCAAGTTTAATTTATATAGAAAAGTGTTTAGTTTCCAATCGAAACATCGATATAAATTATTACAATCAATTACAAACATTTTGAAACAATCTCAACGGAAAGTAGTTAGCTGTCATTTGTTATATTCCAGCCAATTGAAATGATAAACGATAACGTCAGTTTTACCAGTTGACTGTATCCATCACGTCGAGTTTTCAGCCTCTGAAACTGAATAACTTTTCTTATCATTGCAAAATCTATGAAATTCAGTCACATACGCAATTGACTTCTACTGTCGGAAATTTAATACAAGCGCATGAAATTCTGTTCCAAATCTAATTGTGCACCGAGATGTTAACAATTATGTTAAATCAAAGTTTCAGTCGGTATTTAAATCACTGCTTTGTGTAGGCTTACTTTCACTCGACTTGACGCTTAAACTTTGTGTCACTCGTAATTTATAATAAATAATTGTGAGATTATGCAACGGAGATAAATCCAAGCCGTTTCGTTTATTTATAAATTATTTATCACGTGTTTTGGTTGGGAGGAAGGTCGAGAGTTCCTCTGGAACAAATCGATTACATGAATTATTAAAATGAAACTCAAACTTTAGGAGTTATGGATATTTTCCATCAAAGAAGTGAAGATTTTGAGAGCAKTTTTGTTCTCATTTTACAAAGCAAAAATGCGTCGAAGTGTTTCATACTCATTACATTGCGCCAATTTACTTGTAAGCGTTTGAAAAATCCGTAATTAATTGGACAATTATTCAATTAATTAGACGACAAAATTACTGAGTACCTTGAATGCAAGGCGCCATATGCACACAAGTACAAAACGGTCCAGATTCCAATAACATAAAAAGAAGCAGAGCAAACAACTTGTTTTTGTTGAGAAAATGTCAATTGAATTGTCGACGAATTTATTACGCCTGAGAAAAATTTCAATGTTCGATCAGGCGTATGGTATTTAATTACACATTTTTATGCYGCAGAAATGKGCGATTTTAAATGTAAAAGAGTTGAAGRAAAATAAATTTGATTGAGGCAAAAATGGTGAAAAGCTGTTTGGGAAGCGTAGTCGATGATTAGCAGCAATGCCGAATTTGGGTCTTTAATGAGTTCAGGGTGATAAATTAGGGCTACCGCCCCTCACTTTGGGAATTAGTTTCGTCAGCTGATTTTATCGCATCAGTTGAATAAAACTGATCGCAAAAATCAAGAAATACACTTGATCTTGCTTTCAAGATAATTAACTTTATGAAAAGTAGAACGAATAACAAGGGATCCTAAAATGTTGATTTGTGTGTTTTTTTCTTTGCTCTTTTTCTGTAATTTTGTTATAATTTTCATTTCTTCTTCTTTTTTCGTTTTAAATGAAAAGTTTCACTCATCAGTGGTATAATAATTTTAAGTTTTATTTTCTTTTTATTCAAATAGGTAAACAAAGAATAAATTAAAGTTTGATTTTTTTA